CGCATCCTTCATACAATTGGTTAATCCTACGAAATCGTAGGTTATTATATTAGACAGCAGGCATTTGCGTAATAAATTAGAATTTACACCAGTACCTCACGTTTGTTTTAGCGGCGTTCCTATAGTCTTTGTCAATACTGTCAAAAACGTATTCAAATCTGATCAGTCATATTTGATCACAATCAATCATCAAACAACGCATATCGTAAGTTTTATTATTATTATAATGTAATTAGTCGTAAGGTCCACTTTACCTTGTATTCGCTTAAATGTCTACAATACGTCTTACACTAAAAGCTTTGGTTAAGCTGATGCCTATTATTGTCATGCTACAGAAGAGCTCATTATTAAACTTGAGCGCTTGCAAAATCAGTGTATCCGTTTCATATTCGGGCTCAAGAAATTTGACCGAATATCTCATTTTTGCTATCAAGTCAAGTGGCTCACAATTCGACTTGATTGAGGAAGATATTTTCCTCTACGGGTCTACTGGAACATATATCAGCAAATTATGTAATAAGTATAACCTTTGTACGAACTTACTATACTTACTATAAGACTATTTCTTTATTCTGTTGCGTACATAAATATAAAAAAATGTTTATAGGATTGCTAGTTATTATTCTTTAGTTTAAAAGAGAAAAATGTAACCATGTTAGTTACGCCAGATATAAAGTACCCAGACCAGTGATTAGGGAATAGCGACAAAGATACGAGATGTCTAAATCTGGATCTGCAACCACCTATTCATCAGCCAAGAATGGTTATCAGTTTTTCGTTATAATGTTTATAAGTCAAATCCTTGTCAAAAAGGGTGGAGCAACAAAAACAAAATTGTTGCAATTAGAAAGAGCTCAACGTGCCTTAGTAAAGACAATGTAATTTTTGCCTTATAAATTCCCAACAAAAAGCCTGTGTTTAAAAACTGATATACTAAGTATAAGAAAATTATATATTTTGCACACAATATTAAAAAAGCATAAAGGTTTGATTTTCGACCCAAATACTTTGAACAAAAGAAGAAAAGACATTGTACTTCATTCATTTTGTGTTAAAACTGCATTCGCTAGACGTCAGTTCATTAACCAATATATCTATCTATATAATTTTGTCAACAAAAAGCTTAATATTTACTGTAGAAATGCCAAGGACTGCAAGATTTTGATTATAAATTGGCTAAAGACCCTGTCTTACGAAGACACAGAAAAACTTATGTTTCGACACATAGGGTGAGAGAGAGAGAAAAACCACACAACACACACATACACACACACACACACACACACACACACACACACACACACACACACACACACACACACACACACACATATTTATTTTTGAATATTGTATTTTCTTTTTTTTTTTGTAAAATATTTTTTTTAATGTAATCTCACGTCTCTTGAACGTTTTGTTTGGCTATGGAAGAGCGGGAGTCTCTGACACAAGTGCCTTAAGGTACTTAAAAGATTCTCCCTACCCTATGCAAATTGTAAATAACAAGAGAAATAAACTATTATTATATTATTATTATTATTATCTCCGAACTATCACACGGAGTGTTGGCCGCTCCCCGGGCAGAACACCTTGCCCGGCGGGAGATCTCCCCTTTTCCTTCCACGGCCACATACCCATCGCCGCGTTTCACTCCTTCCCATTTTTGCCATCGACCCTTCCCCACTTGCACACCGATATTATTGTTTGTCGTTTAGGCACAAACATTATAGGTAATAGTTTTATAATATATTAACAATCCGCTCCGGCTTCGCACGGCTGTTTTCTGCATCTTGATAACAGGAACACATACCAGGTTCAGTTGAGAATCTAAATCATCCATATATAAACACTCACGCCTGTCACCCAGAGGGGTAGGCAGAGACTACAGACTTCCATTTGGCACGATCCTGACACACCTCTCTCGCCTGCTTCACATCTATACACCTACGTATACATGCTCGTCGGTTAAGGGTACTCCTAATTTGGCCCGTTTTCAATAAATTGCCAATTTGGTCGATAAATTTTCGCCTAGGACATCCCTTTCCGACTCTGTCATTCACTTCTGCAACATAAATTTTCTTTGTCACTCTTTCCTAATTCATTCTTTCCACATGACCAAACCACCGAAGCATTCCTTTCTTAATCCTGGTCACAACATCATCTTGCAAACCACACTCTTCTCTTATTACACAATTTCTTACCCTGTCATTAAGATTCAGGCCTAACATACTCCTTAACGACCGCATTTCTACTGCGTTGATTCTAATCTCGTGCTTCTTCTGCCACACCCAACTTTACACTACCATACGTTAAAGTAGGGACCAACACAGCATTGTGAATTGCCATACGTGCCGTTTTTGACACATTTTGACTCTTCACAATAGAGTGTAGGGCCCCATTTACTTTATTTCCCGCATTCACTGGTCGTTCTATATCCTTATCATATCTCCCATCCCTGCTAAATACGCAGCCCAAATATACAAACTCATCTACTTGCTCGATCAACTTCTATTCTTATTTCACAAATCGTTTTACTTTCTTCTCTTTCAAAAACCATAACCTTCGTCTTACTTGCGTTCACTTTCATACCCCTTTCTTTTAATGATCTGTTCATTAATGTAACCATCATTTGCAACTCGGCCACCGACGACGCAAGGATAACTTGATAATCGGCGTACAAAAGGCATTTGACGGTTAACTCACCCATTCTTAATCCGCATTCTTCAACTTTCAAATTTTGCAAACAACTGTCCATAAATAGGTTGAACAGCCACGGGGAAGCCACACAGCCCTGTCTGACACCTTTATGGATGTCAAACCAGTCCGAGTAGACCCTGTTGATCCTAACACAAGCACTAGAGTCCCTATAAAGAGACTCCAGTGCCTGTATCAAGCCAGCGCTCAACCCAAGTGAGTTCAGTGTTTGCCATAGTACCTCCCTATCCACTCTATCATAGGCCTTTTCCAAGTCCATGAACGCACAAAAAACCTTTTGGTTTTTGGCCAAAAACTTCTCCGCGATCATGCGCATGGAAAAGACTTGATCTGTACATCCCATTCCCTTTCTAAATCCCGCTTGCACATCCCAAATTTTACCATCAGTTTCTTTCATGACCCTTTCAATCAGTACCTTAGCATACAGTTTTCCCACAATGCTAAGAAGGCTGATGCCACGGTAGTTTTTACAGTCCTTCTGTGACCCTTTTCCTTCTCTCTAAATCTAAATCATTCTCAAATCAATTTAATTAAACCCACAAAATTTCATCAAAATCATACCAGCCGTTTAGGAGGAGTTCAGTCATATACACTTAGAAAGAATTTTGTATATATATTTTTGTACACAAAGAAAGTGTTTTGTTTGCTGTACCAAAGTTCAACGTTAATCTGGCACCAGAGAGTAGACAAATTGGTGACTGCCCATGGCAAAAAAATCTGACTCTTTTTTAAGTTATGATAACTTGTTTCTTTATATACATAAGGGTCACTCAATCTAAGTACAAGTGATGAATATTTCAAGAAAAATTTGACATAGGTGTAGCAATTGAAAGAAAAAAGGAGAGGAAAGAAAAGAAACTAAATAATTGATTATCGAAAAGAACCAGCTCTACATGATTCTGAAGATAGTGAAAAAATATGACGTCATTATCATAAGTAGTTCCCAAGATATCTTGTACACAAAGAATTTATGAACTACAAGCTAAAGGATGTCCACAATATCATTTTTATCGGAGTTTTTTTTTTAAATAATAAGTGTTGTTTAATTTAAAAAGAAGCATCAGGCTTGTTCATTAGTGTTTTCTCTATTTAACCGTGCTTTCTAAAACATATTGCCGGTGATGACGTACAGAATTGAGTCGTGGTGGCATTGCTGACTTTATGAGGAAGCGTAAGGTCGCTCAGCGAGCTTTGGAGGGGGTAAGTTTGTGTGCGTGATAGACTTCGAAATGAGCAAAATATCCGCAGTAAAGTCATAGCATCTGACAAACAAGAATGTATTAATACACCGAAGTTTCGTCTAAAAACTAAGCATTAAGTTTAGCGCTGAGGGCCGCGGGTTCGTATCCCGAATGGCAAATGCATTTGTATGACCTAAACATAATTGTTTCGAGATGTTTTTCCTTCTTAAATTTGTGTATGTAAATTGCCTCTACGATGCAGTAGCAAATCTTGCATTAAATTAAAAAAAGTTCCATCGAACCGGTCATATAACACAAAGGATCGACAACCGATGAAGAATAAAGTCGCTTGACAGCCACTGATAAGCCGAGTATATGCCGTCCCCCTTCTCACCACCAGATGGCTCCTGGTAAGGCATCTGGGAATTCAATGTATCCGTGTGGCTTGGGACCATGTTTTTTAGTATTTCGTGGGGGAGGCATATGTTCAGCATTGGACTTGTATAATTATATTGGACTTAATAATTATAATTATGAGACGACAATAAAAATATATCTATTATAAATATTACTAGAGGAGTGGACATGTACTCATTCGTATAAATGCTAAACCTTACAACATTAACTCCGGCTAGGACTCGAATCCAAGACCCATGTTTTTTATTTAAACCACTTAGATCGCGGTGGTCAATAAAGGTATATTGTGAATAAAAAATAAATAACTGGTAAAGACATTGATAACAAGGCGACAACGCTGACTGATCATGACGACATAATAATAATAATAAAACACTATTGATTTTACCGAGTTGCGAACAGACGTCGCGTTGCATTGATCGCGCGCGCAGCTTCTTGCCATATTAAATTAAAAAAAATTAAACAAACCGAATAAAGTTTATAATTACTATGTATGTACTAAATTTCTAATTCGGTGATTATAAATTATTGTAAAATTTGTGCTTTCAGTCTGACGAATATTTTTCGTATTAATAATGTTAATGCGTGCAAAATAAGAATTAATATAAAATAAAATTTTCTCGATCGTTTTGTAGTGGGTTCCTTAGTTTTTATTACAAAGAAACAAAAAGAAAAGAAAAAACAAAAACGATGTCCGAGGAAAATGCAACGCAAGATGTCACGAAACCGAGTAAGAATTTTTATTTTAATTTTTAAGATAAAGTGTTTTAAGTACATTAATTTACGTATTGTCTATTTTTTACGTTCACATTTGCTATAATACTTAAAAATATTTAAAATGTTTAAAACATTCATTAATATTAAAATAAATTATTAGGTGGAATTTATAATTTTGAAATTACCATGGTATTAATATTTGGATACAGAGAGTAAGCGTCGCGCTCCAGTCATTTCATTGGGCTAGTTACAAAAGTCTATGTTATAATGTATATGTTAGAGAAATTTTACGTCTTGGGCCCGTCACATACCTGCTACAAACGGAACTCTGTGTGTAAACGTAACGAAACGAACGTGTCGGCTTCTAACATACGGAATCCCGTTTTGCCCGCAAAATTTCGAATGAAAAACTACCGTAGCTTTGTGACGGGACCTTGATATAATATGGACTTGAAGCTTGTATGTGGCTGGCCTTACATGATCTCAAGCCGATGGTTACACCGCAACGTAAATTATCTGATATTTGCAAGAGTCGTAACTTGCACCAATCACATGACGAAATATAAAGGATATTAAAGAACATTGCTCAGCGCCCATACATTGTTCGCCCTGGAACCAAGAGCATCGGCAAATTATGTGCTGTATTGTCGATCATTACGGATTTCCTAAATATATAATAATAAAATACGATCTTGTTTTTGTAGCGGACTAGCTGCAGATAAGATACATTTCAAAAAAGTATCAGATTTTGAGGTTATAATAGAACTACCAATATTATGGCTTTTATCCTTAAATAGAATAGAATATCGTTAAGTAGAGTAGAATTTTAAGAAACACAAAAGCAATATCGTGAAACATTTAACAATTTTTAGTACCGACAACATAAAACAACCAACAGAGCCGCAATTTACACAAAATACACTTTTCATTGCATAACAAAAATAATATAATCACTGCGCTTAAGAGGCGGGACCTTAGTAAAAGTAAATGTAAGAAAGGGCGCCAAACTATGCTACCAACATCAAGATATGAGGTTTATTTTTTGAATAACAGTGCTGACAACGTAGTCGAATAATACTATTGCTGTAAATGTATATCCGCGAATAATTTTGTCGATATAATGTTTACCAATACATTGTTCACCCAAATTTTTATGTAATAAAAGTTAGATCTCTACACTGATTTATAAGACATAAAAGTTTTTACGTGGGGATTGAGTAAAAATGCCGATCAGTATAAGAAATCAATGTATTTTACACACACATACAGACAGCAATTTGTAATTATATCTCTACAATTATTAGGTACAAAAATATGTATGAAATAAACATAAAATAAACAACGTATTATACTAGTAAATAACTTGTTTACTTCAGCATTATTTTAAATACTAATTTAAAATCGAATATGACCTCATTCATTAGGTATAGTAGGTTTTTTAAATTATACTTTTAGGGAATAACAAAAAGGAATAGTGATTGACTGTTTTTATTGTAGTTTCTATTTGAAATTTATTCAAAATAAAGTCAAAATGTGAAACAGATTAAAAAATATGCAACAGTACATATAAAAATCAAAAGAACAATCGATTAGGCATCCCTAGTCATTTTTTACACACTGCATGACGTTTGGCGAAGATGGCTGCCATTAATGTCACTAATCGAATAGAATACTTTTAATGTTCATTATGGCATGCAGTCAGTTCGTGTTTTTAAAGTATTTGCAACTAATATTATAAAATAGATAATTAATTATCGTGTTTGTCCGAAGCTTTTATTTAAAATGGCGATTTTGGACACTGTCCTTTAAGATAATTAAAAACTATTAATTTTATTACATTAAATTATATATAAAAACATAAAGTTTTTCGGATAAAATATAGTCTAGTTCCCTCCTGGGAATATCTGTTTGTGAAGGTCATTCCTTCCTCTAACGGTTCCACCATTCCAAAGATTAGATCGGACAGACAGACAGTTTAATAAGTGGCAGGGTCACGCTGCAGTTTTGTTGTAGTGTGATGTAATGTGGCCTACATTACATACAACGAGTCGATAACACGTCTCCTTCTCATTAATACCTTCCAACATTACAATTATTATAGCACGAGGAGATGGCCACGACTGGGTTAGGACCACGTTCTCAAAGAATACCATCGTAAAATAGCAGTTTAATGCTGCTATGTTTCGTATGGTGAGTGTAGAGAACCGGAGACTATTTATACTGGAAACGTGGCATTCCATCTTAGACCTCAGAGGTGAATGCATCTGCATTTTGATTCATAATAGAGGAGAATTGTGAATGTCTATGGACCACAGCATCCACTTACCAAGCGAACTGTGTCTTCGTTGGTAACCCTAATTCTATAAAAACAACACACAGACAAATCGTTTGAAAATGATGATTCATGTTTCGACAGCATGCAAGTAAACCCCTCAACTTAATATAAGGTAGTCATTATATATATATATATATATATATATATATATATATATATATATATATATATATATATGTCGGAGCGGAAACCTCGAGTTTATTTTTATGGTGAGGCAGCACCACTGTCCCCATTCGACAAGGGTTCAGTCGTGCTACCGTATATTGTTTCCATTGTAATGAAAAAGATCTAAGACCACACACTTTTAATTTTACACTACAATAACTTTATACTACACTTCTTATTATGAAAACTCACAAATAATACTCACAAAGTTTTACTAGGAAAGTAGAACTACACCGACGAGCACAGGAACTGAAGTGATTCTATTCCCGCGCTCGTACAATAAGGAAAACGTAATAACGTCTTAGGTGTGCTCTGATTGGTCGACGATTTGATTGGTATATATTTCACTAAACAATAACTTTTTATTGAATTCATTAGGTTATTTAAGTAATTTCAATTACCAGGATTAATAATCAAATCGACAATTATTTATTCTACGATTTAAAACAATATTTGGGTTAAAAGTTGATAATCGAATAAATAGTTGTTTTAACAGGAATTAGTTGTCAATAAAGAGATTTGTAAACCAAAAGAGTTTTAAAGAACTTGCTAATTACATGTTATGTTTCTGATAAATTGCTGTTATTAAATTGTAATATTAATAATTATACACTTGATTATTATAATTTATAAAAAATTAAAAGACAATGCAAAGTTTAGGATTCGTCAACAGAAGATGTCCTTGCGGCGACATATATATATATATATATATATATATATTTAAAGTGGTCATTAAAAAGTAGTTTGTCTAGATATTTGATGTAGAGCTGTTGAGCTATTGATAAAATGACAATCAACTGCAAATTAAATCTGACTTGTAAATGAAGCTGTAATTTTCATATTTTGTTTATACGAGTAACATAAATCAAAATGGGTGGGTCCTGAATTGAGAATACAAAAGCTCAATCTCTACAAAACTTTTATAGCTTCTAATAGATGACGGTATTACAACCTCATTAAGGCTAGGCAAGTATTGTGCACACAGACAAAATAAAAAGCAGCAGTGATAAAGTTACAAAAAGTCTGGTATCGACATGCGATCGTCTAGCACTGGCATCCACTTATCTTCAGATGGCCTAAAAGTGAATATTGTTGAAAAAGATTTTCACTGTTATTCTATAAGTAAGTGTTATTTTTTTTATAACGAAAAATACTTGTTATGAAACGAATAAATCTATTAGGAGCTAGGATCTCTATTCTACCTAGGAGTCCACCTGTGAAGGTGCATCCGTCTTAACCATCGCTGCCGTCAAATAGCATTGACGTTTTTATTTATTTTTTAATTGCGCCGTCATTACCTGGGACAAAATAATCCAACTAGGTAAGTCCAACTTAGACCAAGAGGTCAATCGACGGATTCAACTCGGCTGGGCAGCATTCGGGAAATACGACACATCTTCTCGTCAGCTATACTTCAAAACCAGAAAACGGGACTGTACAACCAGTACGTGTAGCCAGTGATAACTTATCGAACTGAGACGTGGCTCTTTACTGCTGTCCGTACGAGGACGCTCAAGGTTGCTAAGTGATCTACGGAGAGGGCTATGCTCGGAGTTTCTCTCCTGAACTCTCGTAAAATATATTGTGATCGCTGCTATGCCATAGGGCTACAGTTCACTGCTAAGACCTATATAGTCAGTGAATAAAAGGAGTAGCTTAACTGTGAGCAATTTCACTTCTTCTGGTCTAAGTACGTAGTTTCCCAGATAATCGGTTAAGATGTGCAGTTTTGTAGGCACACATTTGTTCGGTGCGGCATACATATAAGTATCATAATCGTAAATCATATAGCAAGTTGCTACGGTCTGCAACCAAGCGCTGAACTATTGTGAAATCGAGTCGCCTATTACCCTATTAGATTACGTATATGTAAGATAAACATTATTATTGTGATTATATACACTTTATTGTATACCACAAAAACGATTAAAAACAGATTTCATGGATCATATCTAAGTGGTAGGTACAATAAGGCTAGCGCTAAAAAGCGATCTCTTCCAGACAACCCTAAGATTAAGAGAAAATTATATTATTAGATATTGGGGGATGGTATATATTATGGTAAATTAACATGCATATACATTAATCAAAATCGTTTTGTCTGACTGTAGTAAATTAACATACATATACATTAATCAAAATTGTTGTGTACTGATCACTTTCATCTGAAATGTCTCCTCTTTGGTTTAGAATTCCAAATTGAAATTTATAAATTCATTTATCTGGTACATTTGAGTTTTAAAAATAGTCATTCATTTGTTTTTTCCTCATTTTTTTGGCGTCGCTTATTACCACACAATGGAAAACATGAAATATCGGTTTATTTACGAGTATGAGCTCTATCGTGGCACCAGTGCTGCAGAAACAGCTTGAAGGAATAATGAAGTGTACGGCACTGGTGTTGCAAAAGAAAGCACGATACTTTTTTGCTTTCATCGTTTTCGTTCTGGAAATTTTAGCCTTCAGAACCAACTCCTTGGACGGCCGGAGACCAAAGTGGAAAATGAAGAATT